CAAATTTCTGTTTATCAAGAGGAAGTTGATGAAAGCCTTTATACTGAGGATCTTTATATAGATCCTAAGGTTCCAGTCAATAATACTGGCCTTAATAATCAAGAAGCTCTTGTTGATAATATTGAGAATCTTGATGACGAGGTTCAAGTTAATTATACTGAGAACCTTGATAATAATTCAGACGAAGATGAATTAAATTGTTTTAAACTTCCTGATGACGAATACGATTTCTTAAATTGTTCTGACGAATATACTGATTAATTTTATTCTCTAAATAGCATTTCCTAAATAGCATTTCCTAATTAGTAATTTCCTAAAATGGATTTTTAAACAATTCTGTATAAATATTTTATATTTTTATAATAAATAAAAAAACTATAAAAAAGAATAAAATGTCGCCTTTGTCGATTTTTTTAAAAAAAATTAAATGGGTCGCGATCAGAGATTTTTACATATTATGTCTACTATTTTCTACTGTGTTCCTTGTTTGACTCGTTTTAAATGCAAGAAAAATCTGTCTGATAAGGATAAACAACAAAGAGAAGAAGAGTATAATCGAACAGGAGTTGTCCCAACATGCCAAAATTGTCAGATACAACATTGGCGCTGTAAAGATAAAAGGTGTAATCAATGCTGTAAATTGAACGAATGCAACGAGATTAATTGTTCAGCTTGTAAAGAATCCAAAATTGCATGTAAACGCGTTTTACCCAAAACGCAGGAAGAATTCAACATACTGGAAAAACTTGGTTTAACATACGTTTCAGGTCAATACGAAGCAACTGACTCAGGAAAATTTCATGAACAATGTTATTTTCAATTCGATAAACGCCAAACTATAACTTCTGTAAAGAAATTATTTAATCATCAAACGATGAATTTCTCTAAATATTTAAATGGCGATTCTGATAAGAATCGCGACTATAGTCAGAAGAATTGGAACAGGTGCAAGGATCCAAAACACAAAAAAAAATGTCGATGTTCCTTTCAGGAGAGAGAAAAAATTTGTGACACATGCAATAAAGATTGTATCGATAAACGTTCTTTCGCTCGTTGGAAAGCTTCAGAATTATCAAGTGAGGAAATTGGACCTTGGATTTTTGGTAATTATCGTTACTTAGGAACGTCTACCGAATTAAAAAAAAGTGACGATACATTAAACGAGAAGAGATTAGAGGATATTGAGAGAATCAATCACATTATCGAAAATAATCTTACTATAGACGA